CAAAGAGACAGTGCTGAGAACATGGACCTGCTGTGGCACCTCAAAGGAAACAGCGTGTAGCCGACATGGCAGCAAACCCAGCATCTCTGAGAGGAAGCTGTGTGCAAGTCTCGCTGGTGTTACTGCTGTCAAAATGTCTTATCCACTGTTGGACCGGCCTTTTATTATCAAGCCCATAGGTTTGTATTTCAGACACCCTCGGACACATTCATGGAGACCTGTCTCTAGCAAATTATAAAGGTCATAAAACTTTATATTTTAACTGTTCTGTGCAATTTCTGCAGCTTGCTGCTAAAACCTTGTTGGTAAACATCACTGTGAAACTTTTCTGCACGAGTTCATGGTAAACATGTTCCTGTTCGTGTAAGAAAAAGCATATATGAAGCTTTAGAAGACGACTAAGCATTTCCTCTTCTGTGCTTGTCTGGGTGCAGATGTCAGAGTCCGACTATCAACAGCTGACAAGTCTGATATCAAATAGAGTTTAGATCAGTGCAACTCTGCAGATGAACTTCTCTATAAGAAAGATGTCTGCTGAAAAACTAATTGTTGCATAGTTGACGTCAACTAGCATTTTCCATAAAGGACAGAGCGAGTTTAGAGCATGCCTCCCCACTATCCAAAAGCACCTGTTGTTCAATCAGTACAGATTGCAATAAATGAATAAATACTGGCAGCTAAAATTTAATTCAAAGTGACTGAAATTTAAAGTCAAGCTTTGATTCGTGAGCCAGAATCTCGACTTAAACATTTAGTGGAACTTTTGTAATCTTTCCTACTTTAAACACAGTGAATGTATGCATGCAATGTAAGTGAGGTTATACTTTGGGAAACTTGTATCTGCAGCTCAGAAATGCTCACCGTCTTTATCTGTGAACACTTCCTTCTTTCCACTGAACATAGCCTTCAGCATGGAGTTTTGCTTGGTCAGCACCTGCAGCGTCGTATAAAACAGCATCCCTCCAACGTTGAGCCGAACATACTTGTTGCCTAAGCCCACTGCTCCGTGATGACTACAGCTCTTGGTCTTGGGACAAGCCAGAGGAAGATCTGGGGAGGTGGTTTCGGACTTGCTGAGGTCCTGGGGTAGGCAGCTGTCCCCAGACATGTCCCTTTGGAGATAGATGACCACCCTGCAGATGGAGGTCCGCAGGTCCCCCGCCGTGTTGACCACTATTGATGAGGCCACCACAACCTCCTGGTGCTCCAGGTCATTCCTGAAAAACAACAAAACAAACAAGAGTCCTGAATTACACCCCAACATTCTCTGTGGAGCTACACAGAGGTCAGCGTTGATCAAAACTGTTGCATTAATCATATAAAACACGCAGAGATGGAGGGGAATCTTCCCAGCCCAGAGTGGAAACCACCTGCCCTACTGCCATCTCTCCCTCAGAGGAATGAGGCTGGACCGGAAACTGAAAGGGTGGGGAGGGGGCACATATCATTAGTCACTGAAAAGGGCCACATAAAAAGCTTAAATCGCGTTTTATGTTTTTCTCGGGAATGGTAGTAAAAATATTTATTTTTCAACTTTAAAATCACCAATAACGAGTAAAAGGCTAATAACAATAATCTCGTACAGCTTTTGTTGAGTGCGCATGTCAAAGAAAGAGACCGTTTAGCAGCAGAATGACTTTCAGCAAACTAACCAGATGCGTTCACGTGTCAGTGGGGGGGTCAGGTCACTCGGCATGCTTTGTTCGGTCGAAACGTTATTATGTACTCATTTCACACCGTTACGTAATTACCGATAATTCACCGGATTCTTGAAATAGTAACGCTAGTGGATTATTAGCTTTGCGTCAATGTTTCACCGCTAGTTCCTGCGCATTTGTTTCGCTAAGGTTAGCTAATGTTTGAGCAGGATGTCAAGACTTCGAACGCGAAAACCTGGAAATCCTAGATCTTGAAAATGTGTTTGTGTGAGCACGATTTGAATCTATTCAAAGATAGCAAAGCTTAAATATCACGCAGAGAAACTTTACGTTGCCAAGTAAGTGTGTCACACTCAACAAGTCACATGAAACTGACAGATTTCAGTGGAAAGCTTAACGTTGTCGCCCTTCGCTACATCCTGAGAGTAAACGACACTAAATACGTCTGCAAACATTTACTCACCGACCTCCCTGCGCTGTATTTCAGTTGTTAGATAAATGTACACAAGCAGTCAACTTTATCGCCGCTGCGTAAGAAAAAGAAGTTCAACCAACTCAAGCCCACGCCTTCTTCTTCCACCGAGTTTACTAGTGATGTGTCGGTCGCGAACGAAACGGCTCTTAGAGCTGGCTCTTTGACGTGAACGACACGAGCCGGCTCCTTATCGCGAGCTGTGGGGTTTGTTTTTTTCTTTCTCTCTCCCTCTCTCTCTCTCTCTCTCTCTCTCTCTCTCTCTCACCCTTTTCCTGCTTCACTCCACAGAGCCTTGTGCTTTGCGCTGGGCAGAGGGGGGAGGGGCGGTAGTTACACTCAGTAGCACAGGAACAGAGCGGGAGGGAGAGAGAGAGAGAGAGCAGGGACAACAACGTCACATTAGAAAGGTATAGTAATCATCCACAACTATTTTAAATAGTTAAAAGTTGAAATGTAAATAGTTGTTTTTTGTATTATATGATTTATTTATTACATTTTATGTGGAGTAAATAAACCAAAGTATATTTACGGTGGCCCCCAGAGACAAAGCACGTACAGACTCCAAAACATGTACAAACCCCGAAGCACGTACAAACTCCAAAACACATAAAAACTCCAAAACACGTATAAAACACAACAGAAGTGCTCCAGGATGCTAGGGGGCAGAGTTGAGCTTTTGTGGCTACACAAGCCAGGAAGTACGACCAGATTTGGTGTGTGGTAGTAACAGGTAAATGAACATATTTTAAATTATTTGAATATATATGAGTGCTTGTGTATAAATACACAAACAATACACATATGCTTTCAATTGTGTAATTTAAGTGATCTAGGTAGCTCTGTTTTGGAAGTTCAGTTAACGCTAGAAATGTGTTTTGGAGTTTGTACGTGCTTTTTGGAGTTTGTATGTGCTTTGTCTCTAGGGGCCACTGTATATATTTACATATAAACATATATAAATAAAAGCACGTTTTTTTTTGCATAATTTTATATTGTTGTTAATAATAAATTAATTAAATCAACAAAACAACCTGAAGATCCGGTTGGAAGCCGAAAGAGCCGATTGGAAGCCGAAAGAGCCGGATCTTTTTATTGAGACGAGCCGAAAGAACCGGTTCTCTAAAAAGCTCCGGAAATCTCATCACTAGAGTTTATGCTGGCCAGGCCTTCAATTGCAAAGCACAATGCTGCCCTCGTCCGTCAGTAACAGGTATTGCAAGACAAACTGCCCTGCCTTCATTGGATTGGAATGTTCGTGTACACGCCAGTCCCGTTCCATTTCATTCAGCTGTCACGCCTCCCACAGGTCTTACCTTGGTTTTTCAGTTTTAACTCTTTGTTGTGACTGTAGGAAGCACCTTTTATAAAATACAGAAGTGCCTTCATATCATAGTTCTCTGGATGAGGCAGGTTACGGAAACAAACGCGCACACACACAAACACAGGGAGGAGCGTTTGGTTTCCCTGGCAGCGAGAAGATGAGGAGGAGCTTTGGTTGGTTGTTACTCTGCCACATAGTCAAACAACAGAGAACCATCTGTGACTGCGGTTAGAAGAGGTAAAATCACACGTACAAGCGTTTTTAAATCATATTAGGGGTTAATGAAACCGTGTTGTCCTCGTAGGTTTATTAGCTTTAACGGGGTTAATGTGTTGCGTCCAACTAGCGTTAGTGAGCAGCTTAGCTAACTAGCTATTTGAATTAGCTAACTAATTTTAGCAAGCTAGCTAACAGTGTTAGCCTGTGTCACAGTTAGTGATTTCGACTGGCAAGAAATAGTGAGTAATACTACAGCTTTCTTTTGTTTTACTTACTCAGACTGTTTATAACGTTTTTGTACATTCAAATAAGTTAAGGTTAGTTTCCATTGTATCCGATGTTAATGTGATTCTGATGACTTGCACTGGAGAAGCCTGTAGTTATGTGTACGTGTTTATTTAATGATAATTTGACCGCGAATAGAGCTGCTTGTAAAATGTTCGTTTCGAACCTGTCTGTCACTGAAGACCACAGTTCAACGAAAAGTTCATTTTGCATGAACGGACCATATGTTACCGTTAGTGGCTAAACGTGACTGGACGTTCAGACATACAGTCAAAAACAAGGCTCCGACGTCTGGTTGGAAACACCGACGTCATGTGACCATGGCTAACTTAGGTCTTCGGTTTCAAACAGGTGGCTTCCCTGCGGCGATATCTTTAATTGTTAGCCAGTAGAACAAACATGATGACACTAAACTCCCAGAAACCTTCAATCAGCAGCAGCAGAAACAACCACAACGCAGGGCTCAACAGATAGTGCTGTGGCACTATAGACGTAACAGTGACCTCACTAGACCTTCCAGTTTAGTTTGTTGGTTTCTTTACCTGCAGTTTGATCTATTTTGTGACTTTTGATGTTTTGGAAGACTGCAAAAAGAACAAAAAGACAATATTATTTTAGTATTATTCTAATTATTTTATAACTTATGTATATAATATATAATAATGTTATTATATTGTTGTTGTTAGGCACCATAGGGTGAGACTCTATATGTCACTGATCTGTCACGGGGCTAACACAGAGAGACAGACAGCCATTTGCACTCACGGTCACATCTATGGGCAATTTTGATTCAGTTAACCTAACCCCACTAACTGCATGTCTCTGTGGGAGGAAGCTGAAGAAAACCGATGCAAACACAGTGTTAGTAAATGAGGGCCAGATGAAGTCATCTGTACTGTAAGATTTTATATCGGGCTGGAAAGCCTGCTAACTACAGTAGCAGTTAAAGGACTTGTTCTGGATGCTGATATCAAAGCTGTATGTTTTATACGTGTTTAACTTCCTCTATCACTCTTTCTGTCTCCTTTGTGGCAGGCCCCGTGGCCATGGCTACAGACCCATTAGCTGAGGCAGGCTTTTATTTTGATGAACTCAACAAGCTGCGAGTGTTGGAGCCTGATGTCAGCCAGAAGACTTCAGAGCTCAAAGAAGAGTGCAAAGAGTTTGTGGACAGTAAGCACAGATCACATTTAGTTTAACCTGCTCTCCTAACATTAGCAGGTCCTGCATGTACAGACACGTGTTCTTCTTTACAGAAATTGGCCAGTTTCAGAAGATAGTGGGAGGTCTGATTGAGCTCGTGGATGAACTGGCAAAAGAAGCAGAGACAGAAAAGATGAAGGTAAGCTCGATATTTGAAGACTTTTCATTGGCTCTTGCAAAAGAAGTTGTAGTGCTCGTGTACTAAAGCTTTATAACATCTGAGTGTGTCTGTATGATATGTGATCATGAGAATAAGACTTTTATCAGGTATGATTCTGTGTTATTCTCCTTCAGGCCATTGGAGCCAGAAACCTGCTGACGTCTGTAGCAAAGCAAAGAGAGGCCCAGCAGCAGCAGCTTCAGGCTCTCATAGCAGAGAAGAAAATGCAACTTGAAAGGTAATATAGGAAAAAAAAGAGTGGGTAAAGACACCCATCTGTGCAGGACAGTAGGCTATGGTGTCCCATGTGTATAATCGGGGATATGACAATTCTCCAAAACTTTGTGTTTTTTTTTTTTTTTTTTTTTTTTACACAATAGGAAAAAAACACATTTAGCATAAACTTTCCAGCTTTCATCAGACCAGCACGCTCCATGTTGTTGTTATTGTCACACAGTTATACAATATTGCATTTATATTGTATTCCAATGTTTAATTGTAACACTCCTAAAAAAATTATAATAGTACTTGTGTGTGCCTAAATAAATGCCTTGTGTGGAGAACATATATATTTTCTGTGCAGGGTAGAAACATTTTCATACACATGCTAGCGGAGGAGGCCCAGTGCTGTCCTAATGTGTGGTAGGCGTAAGTAAAGGATAGTCAGGTATCCCTTTCTTATGTCTGTCTGCTGTTTTCTGTTGTGTCCCAGATATCGTATAGAGTACGAAGCTTTGTCCAAAGTGGAGTCAGAGCAGAACGAGTTCATCGACCAGTTTATTCTCCAGAAGTAAGAACTCCCGAGACCAAACAGTCTGCGACTTTCCTCAGTGCCTATCCCATTTTCAGAGAACTACTCCGCTGCAGCTCCTTTTCCGAAGCAGTCCCAAAACTCTGATGTCACGGACGCCTCCTCCTCTGACGTGTTGTGTGTGAACTGACTGCCTGCTGTTTCCCATTGTGGACAGCAGATGTGTGCATTTACAGGGCAGCTTCACGTGCTCACCTCTGCTGGCATCAAGTGTCTCAACATGTCACACCAACACTGAAGACGATGGAGCTATTTATACAAAGAGAACCTATTTATACTATTTATACTTTAGTCTGTATATCTAGTTTTATTACTTTTTGTATCAATGGAGATTAATACTGCATGTGCACGTAGCTGTAAATAAGTTTCAGTTCAAGAAAAATGAGCAGATCAGGATGTTTTTGTTTTATTCCATTGGTTGGTGAGGCCAGTACATACGAAACATTCTCATTGTTTTCTTGTATGTGTATCCTTGTTATCCAGCATTTATTTGAGAAAAATGGTTATACTTGAATACTGTATGTTGCACAGAAGTATCACCTTTGCCTCCAAGCTGTAGAAGAGATGCGTGAGCAAAGTTTAACAATGTGCAATTAAGTATTGTGTTAATAAAGATTACGTGATATGCAAATATTCTGGTACTGTTTTACCTCACATAGGGAAGAAAGCATGTCACAAGCCTAAAACTGCAGAGGGCAGTTCACGTGTGCTTTTATATACTGTAGGTCCACGGATGGAGTCACCTAAACTCCTTCCTGGTTGTGACAAACTGGCTGAAATCTGATCTCGAGTCAGTTCTTTTTCTTCTTTCAGTACTTAAATAGCAACACTTGAAAATCCTCATTTACTAAAAGAAAAGAGAAATATCTTTGCTTCCCCTGCAATCCTGGATCGGACACCCTCCACTGATGCAACATGAGAGCAGCTTTTCTATTCGTCCAACCACCGACTACACATTGACCTGCAAATCTGCTGAAACAGGCCTTTAGGATCTAACCCAGGAAGTCTGAAAGGGCAGCCTGACAGCTAAAGTACACTTTGAATGATTTTCTTTCAGGTGGTTAACATTGATTTTGTTGTTGACACCATCAATAGGAGTACATTATATTACACGGTCTGCTTTTTCAAACGTGTCCATCACCACTGTGCAGTACACTGACCGTAGCACTCACTTGTCCCACGTTTTGTCACGTTCCAGCCTTTTTCCAAACTAGATTCATTTTTCGCTTCAAATTTCGACACACAACACACCATAACCCCGTGCAGTCAGGTCGTACTGTAAATATGCGAACTGTTAAAGGTGGGATATTTTTAATTGGTGACACGATTGTCCTCCAAGCGTTGCAACAGATTAGTAGTATTGTTGTTGGATGATGAAATGTTTTTCTCCCTTTTGTTTGAAGTCGTCTTTACTAAAGTCAAACGTGTCCAAACAACAGACGTGAGATTTGAAGTTGTGCGCTCAGCTCGATGTGTTGATTTGTTTGTTTTTCTCCATGATGCTGCAGAAGGCACAGAGTCACGTGACAACACAGAATTTAAAAAAACTGAAATAACCGACACGGGAAAGATCAGGTGGATTAGAGATTCCCAGTGTCAGTTTTGATTCCTTTTTGACTGCCCAGCTCTAGTAAGGAACACAGCTGATTTGATGCTAGCTGTCTCAAACAAAGTAGTAAAGTGTGTTTCAGGACAAGAATGTAAAGTACTTCCATACCAGACTTTTACTATTAACAAGTACGGGCAGCGATATGTTAGCAGCTGTACTTGCTGCCATCTTCCATGTTCTCCTTCTTCTTCAGCATGGAAGATAATCTAGAACCCTTGTCGGTCGTATGTCGTCCTCTTCAGTTCTGCTTCTACATCATTACATACGCAGCCTGAGGAACCTATGGCAGTAAAGGAAAAACAAACAAAAAACAAGTACTGTAGCATTTTTCACAGTTCTGGTACGAATGTTAGTACCTTTTTTAGTAGGCTGTAAACATATTTAAAGTTTTAAACGTGCATTAAGGTGGGAGCCATGCTCAGACAACACTGGACCAACTACTGCGTGTGTTCATCATTCAGACACAGAGGCTGTAGAGGACATTGATATGTATATAAAGCATAAAACCATGAACTCTTTGTAGTTCGCTGAATAGTTTCAGTTTCCATCTCCTGTTCGACTTTTGCTCCAAGGAACAAACCAACTAAGTTCATGATTGCACATTTAATGGCATAGTTTGAGAACAGTATTTACAGCGAGTCATCGGTCATCCCTCAAAAAAACCATGACACCCTGAGCACTCGCAGACAGGGACAGCACCTTCACCAGTGTGACTCCAGGACAGCCCTGCAAAATGCACCGCCGTGGACACGCGCTCATTTCTTCTTGGTATACTGTGAATGACAAACGAAATGAACATTACGCTTTATGTTCATGTGTGTAAGACCTTGGAGGTCTTCTTTCCTTTATCCTTACTTTATCAAGAATCCAGTCAGCATCTGCAATCGCTCTCTGGATGATCATCTGTGTCCTCTCAGGGTCGTCTTCATCTGAGTGGCTGTTGTAACCCTGGAAACAAACAGCAAACAAAGACTTTATGATCTTGGCAGAAACTACTTTCAGCAGTAATGATGATGATGATGATGATACATTAATGGTGCATGAGTCACAGTTATTGGTTGTTATGGTGACCATAAACATGTCAGCACTATCTAATAATACAAATCAATAGTGCAGCACAAAGGTCAAAGGTTGGGAGTTTGCCTTCACAGGAAACGGCTCGTTAACAATTCAACTGCTGCTGCCAGCCAATCACATCACAACAGAAACCGAAAATAAGGTTAGCGATGAAGGCAGCGTTAGATGGGCCTCTTCACGTCACTGCAACAACCGTTTGTAGAACTGTGCACGAGTTATTTTTAAGATATTTTGTTGCTTTTCTCCATTTTATATTATATCTGTTTAAAAATGGTCAGATTTTTAACATTTCTGTTGACTTAAAATATACAACACACGTGTCTAAAGTGGTCAGTATGGACTCTAAGACTGGGGTTTTCAGTACAGTCAACAAAGGATGAATTGTATTCACCATCACCCAAATCTCCTGACACAAGTCATTTCTAATCCCCATAACGATATAATCACAATATTGGCATTTTCTGTAAATTCAGTGAATAGTTTATATAACCAACACATTGAAAGTACTGCTCGTTTTTTACTTCATTGAAATAATAAAAAGTTAAATAAATATGATTATAAATACACCCCACACAGTCACGTGTTGTGTGTTTTGATCAGTGAACAAAACCATATATGTATATTTATCTTCGGGATTCTTTGTGCTTCTCATTCGCAAACACGCGATTCTTGCTTAGGTGGTGTCAGAGGTCTGTGGTGTGGGTGTCTGTGGAGGGGGCCGGGTCGGCACAGTTTTCTGCTCCATGTCAGACTCGGTTACAGAGGTAACCCCTCGTCTAGCAACGAGCCCCTCGATTTGTTTTGTATGCTCCTTCTGTGTTGCTGTGGTGACTACTGTCGGTGCAAAAGTATCGCAGTTATGAGTGTATGTCGCACAATACAAAATAAACTGTCGAGTATAATATGAAACAATCGGCTTTGTCATTTGATATATTTCATCACATCACACGGCCATAAATTCAGTTTTATTTATAAAGCGCTACTCTCCTCAAGGCACTTTATATTGTAAGATCAAGACTCTACAGCAGGGGTCCCCAATCCCAGTCCTCAAGGGCTGGTGTCCCTGCAGGTTTTAGATGTGTCCTTGATCCATCACAGCTGATTTAAATGGATAAATGACCATCTCAACATGTCTCGAAGTTCTCCAGATGCCTGGTAATGAACTAATCATGTGATTCAGGTGTGTTGACCCAGGGTGAGATCTAAAACCTGCAGGACACCGGCCCTCATGGACTGGGATTGGGGACCCTGCTCTACAGTAATACAAAGATTACTGAATTATCCCGAAAACACACCAGGTTGGGTGGGTCTCTTCCTGTTAAAGTGACGTTCTTCCTCCCCACTGTCACCCTGTGATCATGTGACTGTTCTCTCTTTATTAATGCCAGGTCCCTAAAATAACTATTGCTGTGAACTGGTGCTTAATAAAGACGGCTCACTAATTCTGCATTGAGACAATTTTCATCGTTTTCCCGATCCTCACTATGTGCAGGATTATATGAATACTTCATGAGCACAGATTGATTCTTAATGAGCTGTTTAAAACCATTTCTCTGTGTCAGATGTGATGTAGCTCAGTTAGTCTTGTCACACAAGAGTCCAAAAGGTATTAAAGTTACCGTCACAGTTTCACTTGGAAAACATTTTGCTTGTCATTGATCGGTGCATAAGATGACCTCACCTGTCTTATGGCATGTCGATAGTGTTGTTGCATTGCTGTGGACGGTAACTGCCTGCAGCACCTGAGCAGGTATCGATACAGCTGCAATGGAGTGTGGACCAACTCGGCTCCAGCTAAAGGTGGCATCCCTTCCTGGTTAAACAGCTGTTGGTAAAAATAAAAACGGACTCTATGTGTAGACTGCAGATGTAAGAACATCTGGGCTAAGTGTGTGTCAGCAGGGGAAAGCACATGCGTTTTAATATAATGTTGTGAAGCTTTTATAGAGATGATTCCCCAACAGCAGTAACACCAACAAGATGCCTGGAAACATAAATCTGGTACAGGCATGTGGTTAGTGATTTCAGACAGACGAAGCATTAGTAATGCCAACACCAGTGTTGTGCCAAAAACTGATTTCAAATGTTTCTGTGTTTTTTATGTGTAATATCTTTATGTATGTTGGTTAATAGACTTCAGTGAACAGATTACTCTGAAAAAAAGACATTTTAAAAGTCAACAAGATGTTTTTTTTTTAACTGGAAAAATTAAGGATATATAAACGTCACTGCCAAAAAACGACTGCAGCTTCTACCTTGTGACATGAATGTTGTTTGTGCCTCAAGATGACTTGATATCATTCATGAGGGATACATTTGACATTTGTTTCACATATTACAGAGCAACAAGTTATTTATAGCAGTTTAAATACGAGCTATCATTTTTTGGCACAACACCGGCCTGGATCAGAAGGACACTGGCTAGTGAGGTTTTGTGCAGGTTTGGCGCCCTGGGGAAAAGAGAGCTGGGCTAAAGTAGTTCAAAGTACATTAAAAATAATAATACTGACAAATGGAGATACAACAATACCTCAGATACAGCAGAGGCGTGGACACCATAAAGATCACCTATCAGCCACAAACATGAAACAGTGTCCATCATTCAGTTTCCAGTTAATCAAGCAGGACTACTCTCAGTTAGCCAGCTAACTTGGAAACTTATTCCAATGTAGCAATATTAAAAATTAAAAAGCTCCACGTGACAGTAAAATATTCAGGTTTCGCTCTCGGTGTTTAGAAATTGCTTTCATCCTGACCTTCCAGGTTTACGCTTGGCTGCTCTGGATGTAAACAGTGTTGCTAACTGAGGCTAGCTACTCCCTGACAGAAGCATTCTTTTCCACAGGTCGGAGGCTACACTGTTACTATAAAGCACGCGTGGGTATGCTTACTGTAGCTGTCAGGGTGAACGAAACATCACAAACTCTCCTCAGAGTGTTCTTACCAAACTTCTATGACCACTGCATTCATAAGCTCCGACTATAATATTACCCGGATGTACTTGGTGCCCCGTCTTCTTCTATGGTTGACAAATGTGTTACATTGAAAAAGCATCGACTCCTGTTGTTGGATCTATAAACTACAAACATAGGTACACATATCTGGACTTAAAGAGTCAAAGTAATGTGTAATACATAAGCTTTGGTCATTGTTCATAAAGTCGTGTTTATCTCATTTAAGACCTGAGGATTTGTCTAATGTTCTGGTACATGACTGTAGCTCAGAGTAGATCATCCAGATCTTTCTGTGGATTAACCTTAGCCACTGTTGACACTTTAAATGCAGAATCTTAAATCTTATTTCTTGGAATTTTGATTGGATATTTCATGTTTTGTTATTAATTAAACAAAGCATCTGTCATATCAGTGTTTATTGGAAGTTTACATAGCTGTACAGAACTTTTGGCAGTTATGTGTTTCAACATGGAATGGATTAATAAACATACAAGTGGTCATAACAAAAACAGAACACAATGTAAAAAATATGAAGACACGTGCAGATTCATTAGTAGTCTTTGGTCGCTCAGTATGCTGTAATGCGCAGTCCCAACATCTGCTTTTTAAAAAACGTGTAATTAAAATGAAATGTGAGATAGCACCAAGATCAGTGGCATTGCTGGACGTAGAGCGGACACAAAAACAGTAATGACAGTACAGTAACTCACCTATGTAGCTTAAATACAATAATGAATTTCGTAAGGGGTGAGTATCCTGGACCAGAGATATAGTCTACCAGAGCAGCTGCACAGTGTGGACTAAAGCAAGATGTCAGTTCTGCTCCTGAGTCCCACCTGCTTGGCTCTAACTGAACTGCATATGCATAGAGTACTAAAGATAATAAAACATAGTGGAATATGATTAAGGCTTGTCCTCGTGATCATCACTAACAGATTTATTTAGATTCATGATTATAATGTGGAAGTGCAAAAAATATCAAATTTCTTCAGGCGATCATAGCAAAGCTCAATTTACAACTATCAATATGATAAAAACCACAGCTTTGAGAAGTTAATGTTTTTAGGGCTACGGCCCAAATCCGCTCTCTCTTTCAGTGATTGTTGCTTTTTCACTCTTTCAGGCACATTATCAAACATCTTTAGTGCAACTTCATTTTTTTTGGCTTACAAAAGTAAACACTCTTTTTGCATTTGAATTTCGTAAAAGGTGAGTATCCTGGACCAGAGATATACTCTGCCAGAGCAGCAGCACAGTGTGGACTAAAGCAAGATGTCAGTTCTGCTACTGAGTCCCATCTGCTTGGCTCTAAAAACTTCTGTAAGTTATAAAACGTACAGCACGTGTAGCTGAATGTGGCTCAGTCTCTGTGACATGGCTTTGTGCATGCCCATTAGTTCTTGATGAGGTAAAACAGCTGTATAGTGGTTAAGGGACTGTCACCAGCTGGCAGGAGAACACAACCAGAATTTGTTCTGTCCACTTAGCAGCAACATGTAAAATGAAATGAAACAAACTCCCACATGACGTGACAGGTTCTCTCTGCACAGGAAAGAGTCCAGAGTCTAGAGGGGGTCGTGTGTTTTGGAGATGAGCTGAAGAGAAACTATCGCTCTGACTTGACCTTGTAGCGGAGGACAAGGTAAGTGGCCAGACGTAGGATGATGAAGAAACTTCCCAGGACAATAAAATCTACATAGAGCTTTGCATCCTCCACATCTAGCAGCTGCAGAACCTCTTCAGGCTGTTGGAACTTACACACCGGCCCTGGACACTCCAGCTCTGTGCGGTTCATCCCATAGATAGACAGGAGGACCCCTTCAAAGCCATACCTACGAGAGAGACGAAGTCTTATCTGTAAACAGCCCAGTCACAATAGCTCAAATATTGCTTACTGTTTCTGTAATAAATGCGGATGACTTTGGTAATCAGGCCCAGCCATCGAGGATTTGAATGCATCTTACAAATAGTTAGCATCCTATGAATAACTTTTGGACAAAAAATGCTTGAAAGGATCAGTCAGATACTTTATAATCTAAGTGTCAGTGTCAGCGCAGGTAGACCCTGTGGAGTGGAAAGTAGTGGACCCAAATGCACGAAACGTGGAAACGGAACTGGATTTTAACAAATGGCGTGCCTTTTATTGAGGCCGAAAAACAGATAAATGAGAAACTAATCACAAAAACCTAAACCGGGAAAACGAAATACACAAAAACCAGGAATACTAGGAAATACATGAATACCTGAGACATGGACGGTTATCAGTGGATGATAAGCAGACGAACCGATGGGTAAGAAAGCAGAACACACATACACAGAGGGTAACGAGGGAAATACACAACAGAAGAAAGACACAGCTGAACCTAATCAGACACGACGAGACAGAAGAAGCAAAACAGAATAGACTCACACAGGACGCGGAACTATCACAATAAAACAGGAAACCAGAGATGCAGATTGACAGAACATAAGGAACAGAGGCAGAAACATGGGAAACAGAACCAAACCTACACTAGAGACATGACACACTAAACACGGGAGGCACAGGAACAAAACCTAAGAACTAGAAATCACTGAAACATAACCAGAAACTAACTGAAACGAAGCACATTAATAATCAAAAAGCACAAACACAGAGTCACCATGACTGCACAGAACCAGATGTAAATGTGTTAACAGTGTTTTACCATTAGTTATTTGTCCACTAATCTCCACTTATTACAGTAGGCTCAAGCATTTTGTGCTGGAGGGCAGCAGCTGGTGCTTCACTCGATGCTGCAGCAGCAAGCTTTGTGTTGCAGATTGTTTATATTTTTATGAGTGTGGTTTTTTATCCATATGAGATTGACATCCTTGTCTTAAGTTAACATGAATGACTGAAAGTGACCAAATTAAGCAAAACACTTAAGATACCAAGTCTTCCAGGTTTTGGCAGCTGCTAAAGAAATAAAACATTCACAAATCATATATTAATCAGCCAAACTCAAATACTGTTAACTTCATAATCTTTGGGGCAAGAAAACATATTTTATAATTTTATGATTAAAGCTGAAAGTCTGCTCTTCAATCTTTTCTTAAATGCTTGATGTATAATGTGCTGTGATGGTGTACAGACAGAAAAGCAATGTGTCATTCCTCAAAACCCTGTGGACCCGACTGAACCTGCAGCTGTTCCTCCCAGCGACACTCACCTGACATAGGACACATAGGAGCTCCACTGCAGATACTTGGGGATTGTGTCAAAGTTGACAAAGAATCCAGAGAACAGCAGCACAGGGACAGCTGTAACAGGCCCTACAAATGTGGCTACCTGGGAGGTGTAGAGGATATACATCGTGTTACATATTACATCAGCCAAGAAAATGTGTATTAAACAATGCAAACATGCACTACCTGTAGTGAGGTGGAGGCAGCGCCAACCAACAGCCCAAGAGACTGGGCTACCAGGGCAGTGCAGGTGGACAGGGCTATGAAGAGCAGGTAGCGACTTGCCTCAGGAGGCTGCTCTGTCATCCAGTACACTATGCTGCAGTACATGATGGGGCAGATCACCTAAAATAACACGTTCATTAACTGATGTTTAGTAGAGGAACAGCGAGGACACCCTGTCACAGATGTTAAAGTGTGCTGCAGCTACAGTCGCATCCAAACACAGAGCCCTCAGCTCCCGTGCCAGCCAATCACAATGACTGGAGTACTGCACAATGGTTTATTTAATAGATATAAATGTTGATGGATTTAATACAAATTAAGGTTGTACTCAATGACAATGATGGTCAGCAGGATCAAAAGTAGCTTTCCAAATCACTGTGACATTTACCTCGTTTCCATTTCAATCCATGATAACGCCCACGCATTACATCTGAGAACGTTTGAATCTGCCGCTCTACAGTGTAACCAATAACAGACACTTGGGTGACTTCTTTGACATGATGAGACCCAACAACAATGTTAGCAAACTAATCTGCTCCTACAACCTGCAAACACCATCTGCTAACACTAGAGTACAGTGTTGTGAAGCTAAGTGGATATATGTTGTTGTTTGTCAGCACTCAGGCCCTCAGTGAGTAAATCCACCAATCGAATCACAGCACTGCCAGCTCACCTGGAAGGGAATATCAGCCATGGTCTTGGCCAGGTAGTAGGCTTTCAGGCTGTACCAGTAGTTCAGATGCTCCCTCAGGAATACAGACATCTCCAGAGGAACTGCCAAAAGCCCAAAATGTTTACACACATTTATGAGATTTATCATAATAGTATCAACAGGGGAGGAAGTTCATAACCTCTCGATCATACTCACAGGTCAACACAGTAGGCATGAGTGCTCCAAACATGAGGAAGAGCATAGAGAAGAAGAGAAATCCAGTGTTGTTAAACACCCTGCTGGCATCATTGCCAATGTTGAGATAGAGCAAACCTATTAACACACCTATGCAGATGTGGGATATCACTCTGAGGTGGGTCAAAACCTGAGAATGGACGACAGCGGAGAAAGAAAACATCCATGATCAGGCTCGTTTCAGGTAAGAGCACATCTGATCTGTTCGTGACAGCTGTGATTATTGAAGCG